TACCTAAAACCTGACTACCACCAACATCCATCCCAGAAAAATTCCCTCATCAAAACTCTACACCATAGAGCTCGATGTAATTCCGACCATCATCACCTAGCCAGTGAACTGGAACACGTATACCAAGCTCTCAAGATGAATGGATATTCAGACTATACAATCCTTAAAGCTATCACCCCAACCGTTGGGAAAGAACCATCTGAGGACCCAATCAAAATCATCACCTCGCCATACATAGCAGGGGTCACCAAAAATATTTCCAAAATCATGAGCAAACACAAGATCCAGGTTTGATTTAACACAGTACGTAAAATTCGTGATCTGATCCCATCTGTGAAGCATGTGATTCCTGACATGCAATACCCCAGCGTCTACAAACTAACCTGTGTCTGCGGCAGTAGTTACATTTGGGAAATAAGAGACATGTCTCGGACCGTGTTCGTGAACATAAGGCAGATCTGAAACACGGTAGGACCAATACCTCGGCCGTGGCTGATCATTGTTTTAATGCGGTGGGCTCATGCGAAATTCATATATCTAAGACGAAGGTACTTTGCAAACCCACTGGCTATCAACAAAGATTCGTTCATGAAGCCATCCCTATATACAGACACAATTTCAACCGAGAAGATGGGTAAAAAAATTAGCAATTATTGGAAGGACGTTATCAACCAGTTTAGATCATAACTGGCTGTGATGTTCTCATCCCACCACCGTCCGATGTTAGTTGTTATTTTCGGCTCTCCGATTTAACATTAACAGGTTAAATTTCTCACACTAACACAGCCACCTCGCTCGCCGACTTAGAGGAGGCGGCGGCTCTGCGATCTCCCATTAACATGCTAACCTCTCACATTAACATAGCCACCACAGCACGCTCGCCGTGGAGGCTGCTCACCGATCTTACATTAACACACTAATCTCTCACATTAACATAGCCACCACAGCACGCTCGCCGTGGAAGCTGCTCACCGATCTTACATTAACACGCTAACCTCTCACATTAACATAGCCACCACAGCATGCTCGCCATGGAGGCTGCTCACCGATCTTACATTAACACACTAATCTCTCACATTAACATAGCCACCACATCACGCTCGGCGTAGAGGCCGCTCACCGATCTTACATTAACACGCTAATCTCTCACATTAACATAGCCACCTCAATGCGCTCGCCATGGAGGCTGCTCACCGATCTTACATTAACACGCTAATTTTTACCTGGCAGCCCTTTAATTGGTGGAAAATCCACCACCGTCGTGGTCACCGCCCACCACTCACATTAACATTAGCTGACCCGCCCATGCTGCTGACATTTGGGCTACGCCCATTTCAAACCTTTATAAATAGTTTGCCTTTAGAAGCTAACCCTCCTTTCCTGATGACCGCTTGTGTTGCGATCGAAACGTGACTTTACCGAAAGACCTACAGAATATGAATCCACAATAATTACAATTTGACCTTTTGCTGGAAATTACATCCAGCATCATCGGGCGATTTGGTCGTGTGGATTTGTATTCGAGTTCTCTGGTTTTCCCTCCACATTTAGAAACGTGTTAAAGAGTATTTGGCTGCTATACATTTCCAGGTGATAAGCCACTTTGTTGAGCTGTCATTTGTGGCCAGGTCGCTACTGAAAAAGAGCTATACAGCTCAGTTGGTCTTACCTGGTCAAATAAAACATTGCTTAGTTCGTAATTTTAGCTAATCCACTGCGAGATAATGGCCTCACCTCGCGATGCGGGTGGTGAGGGGTTATATTTGACCATACTTCACCACGCTGATCAGTGCAGTTTGGTGAATGTGGGGATCATAGATGTAGCTGAAGAGTGCAGCACAACATTTCTGCATCATCCACCGTTGCCCACGAGGTAGCCCCACAGCGTCCTATAGCACCTGTTTACTGCACGTACGGTGGTCTGGTTGCCCCATCCACGCACTGTCCAGGCACAAGCCAGCTTCGCCTCTGAGGTCTGACGGGGTCTTTGACCATGGGCAAAAAAAGGTTAATGGATGAGAAATTGCATTCCTTCAAGCCACTGAAAGAGCGTGACGGCCTAATACAGAACAGGTTTTATGGCCCGCAGCTGCTTAGCAAGTGCACAATCAGATAAAGGAGCCTTTTAAAATTGATACGCGAATAACACAGCAAGCCCTTAGCACCGATTCCCACGTAAACTTGACCTCGTTAAACCCACCGTAGCAAGAGGCATATGTAACTACGTACGAGGTGAGCTGAACTCGAGACGTGTTGGAGCATAATGAGAACAGTGCAATTCTTGCCAACACAGATGCTATTCGGATCTTCAATGTAACTTGTGAACGCAGCCGGAAGAACATCGAACTGGTGTTAGTGTAAAAGTGATTGTCTGCTTCATGGGAAGCTGTGGTGTAGCGATTATCAGCACCGGTCCTGGGCCTCCCCTAGGTCGATTCAGCCTCAATTGAGTAGCTGGTGCAATGTGTTAAAAACTTAGCCACGAGGGAAAGGCAGACGGGCGTGGTTGCTGGTCACCCACCCCCTCGTATGCCGTGCTGGCCTTCTTAGGGGCCGTCCATAAATGACGTCACGCACCTAGGGGGGGGGCACACATTTGCGACGATGTGTGACGAGGGGGGGGGGGGGTTGAGAAATGTGACGTCACATCAAAATGCGCAACTTTAAATAAATATAGACAACACGTTCTACCTAATTAAATAGACTTTTTAATAAATGTTTTCTCCTACAACATCAGAGTGCAGCGCGACATTAAATACGCACTACAATGACGATAGTTTAAAGCGATTTGAAGCATATTTTATTCTTTTTTGGTGGCAGGGGCAGAGCTTTGTGACGTCATATTTTAGGGGGGGGGGGGTTGACCTTTTGTGACGCCGCGTGACGAAGGGGGGGGGGAGTCAAAAATCGACCAAAATCGCGTGACGTCATTTATCGACGGCCCCTTAGGTGCTCGCTAACAGTACTTGCCCCAACAGTCTGTCATGGCTAGAGAGGGGATCTTCGTCTGCTACAGGAAAGGTTAAAATATTGGTACTGACTATTTTCAGACCTTTGTCAACGCTGCGACGTCATTGATGAAAGCCTCCCCACGCCAAAAAGGTCGTGGTGTATTTGTGACCATACTTCACCGCGCTAGTCAGTGCGGGTTGGTGAGGAGAAGACCGGTTCAGATATCACTCACCGCTGATTCTTAGCTGTGGCTCTGAATCACACTCGGGTAACCTGGATTCCAAGCACACTGCGGTTACCATTGCATAAGCCTAGATATATATATACACCAATACAACAAAACAACACAAAGTCTACTTGTTCGAGTGAGCATGGGGGTGGCACTGCACAGCTCCGTGATGTAAATCCACATTCCCCTGGTAGGAACTGAAATCGCCATGCAACCTCCAACCGGCACTCCTACTGGCCTTCCAACAAACCGGCGCTGTCTGTATCTCGCTCGAAAGGGTTGGCTGAGTCCAACCGATATTTCAACTCCAAGCTACACAGGAAAAAAAATCATTTGATACCAACCTCAATTCCCGACCCTCCAGAATGAAACCGATTCGGACTCTATAACTCACATGTCTCGTTGGTCGGCCGAGTGTTCGTTTCAATTGTGCCGCCCGGGTAGTAACTTTTTTAATGTCTTGTTTTTGCTTGGCGGGCTATTGATCAGCCGTGTTTCTATGCTCATGTCAAGGACTAGCCTGGTTCCAATCTTGCGCATGACAATATGTTAATGGGATACATGCCAATATCGATGTCTGCTGCTAGCCACGATGAGAGAGAGAGAGAGGGCTTCAGGAGAGAGTTCGTGTAGTTTTTTTCTATTTCTCCGTTGAAGGAGCGCAGAGTGCAGTAGTTTACTCTTTGCTCCGTAGTTTGGGCCATAGTAGCCTGGTGAATATCGTGCAATGCTGGCAGCGAATGATCGGAGTGGAGTCGTGTGGCTACGTGATGAAGTGTGCAGTATCTCGCTATGTCTTGTATGCTGTCTCGTTTGTATTTGTTGTACCGTTGGTATCGTCTCATGTGTGGTATCGCGACGTCTCGGTACCACTTCTGTCCCGTTCGTACAATAGCCCAAAGGCAACTTTAAAATGAATGTCCAAATCGTAAAATAATTCTGGCGCGCACGGTAAAATGCACGCATCGCGGTGGCAGCGCACGTCTGTGACCTGTGACCTCTGCACCGTGGAGGCAGCAGCGATGGTCGGTGGATGTCGTGAAACTCCCTTCCCGTGAGTGCCGAGGAGCGACCATACCCTGGCTCGACATTAGAAGGCAGTGCAGCCAGCGGACTAATCTCTATCTGTTTCCATCTGTATGGGGATGGAGTGTGTTGCCCACTCACGCCACGTGGGTTTTCTTCAGATGCTGCGGCTTCCTTCCCAAGTGTATAAAAAAAAAACATCATTATTTGGCTGAAAACTTCGTGAAATATAAAAGTCAATGCAGGACCTGCGACTCAATATGTCTTAGCTGGATAAATAAGTACATGTTTATTTATTTTTTAATAATAATCTATTTTCAAAAATATATATTCTGTAACTTACTAATACTTATCAAACAGTACGGACCACTCTCGTTTGTGCACACCTAAGAATTCATGTTTATTGAAGTTATTTGGCACCGTACGGAGCCAACCGTGCTAATCGGATGTGCTAAGAAACGAAGCCTCGATACAGCATTATTACAAAGCGTATTATTAACGTACAGTAGCTCAAATTAGTACTCAGTTTGGTTTGTGAACATCATCATCATCATGACAGGGAGAGACAAGGGCGGCCCGGTGTGGGTGGTGCTGACCTCACACCAACCCGTGCGTGGTTCAGACCTTTAAAGGGGTGCTTCACGAACAGCACTTAATTCCGCTGTAAGAGTGTAGGGGTTACAACGTGCGGGTGGGCGGGTGGGAGGGTTGCGTTGGGTTGGGGTGAGCTGCCTGGCTGCCTGACTGGCTGTGTTCACCGAGCCGCGCACAACGCGGGCGGCGCGCGCCACACGCAACGCAACGCAGGCGAAGTGAATTTGAATCGCGCGTGGCCGCGCGCGCAATTCGCTTCCGACCAATAAAACTTCCTCCAGGGGGTGGAGGGGTGGAGGGGGGCGACCCGCGTCCCTCTGGTCGATACAAAGCGGGAGGGGAAAGTGCCACGAGGGCCACTTGTGCAGTTGCGCGCCTCGCTCAAGTGCAGCTTTTTTTGGTTCATCATCCAGCCACGAACCCCTCCCCACCACCACCACCACCAACCCAGGCAGCAATCCATCCGCCGTGCAATACACCAGCGTCTTGCTGGAGCTGTTGACACATCAGTCACGGGACGCATCAGCGGCAGCAGGAGCGCAGGCTACACACACAAACACAGAGAGAGAGAGACAAGGCTCGCGTCATCCACAGGCCAGTCTCAATTATTTTGTCACCGGCCACAATTTGTAAAGACCGCCGAGGTCCGTAGTTTGGTTGCTGCTGCTGCCGTTGTTGTTGTGGTCGTAGTTTCGCTGCGACGAGATGGCAGCTGTTTACGGCACCAGCATGCGCACCAAGTTGCCGCTCGTGGGGTTCATCCTGCAAGTGTCGATGATCATCCTGTACGGCGTGTTCGTGCGCTACGACAAGGACAGCGACGCCAAGTACGAGACGAACACCACGGACCACGGGGAGAATGAATTTTACTTCCGATACCCCAGTGAGTATGGCTCTGCCAGCAGCGGCAGCGATTCCGCGTGTCGTGCCGGCGGTGCCGTCGCTCCTGCAAAAGCGCGGGCACGTAAATTCGAGTACACTGCCGCGAATCTGTACGCGTGCATAATGCAGTCTCTGTGTGTGTGGTTTTTTTTTGGGGGGTGGGGGGGGCGGTTAGAGCGCGTAAAATAAAACAACAGCGTCGTTAAACCCGCCACCACCCGACACAGCCAATGAGTTAGGGTCGTCACGTCAACACGAACGTGACAATTCGTTACTAGTACGGCAACGCGGGTGTGCTGGAGAGCATTTACAATGTGAGTACCGCCGACGTTTTCATTACGCACGATACGTGTGACGCTCGCGCGTTTGTCGCTTGAGCGCGCGCGCAAGTTGAGTCACGTGCAGCAATCCGCAGGCTAACGCGATACTATGGGGGCGATTAAATTATTCCACCATACTTCGCCACGCTGGTCAACGAGGGTTGGTGGATGCGAGGCGTGTAGTCTCGACGGGGGGCTGGGGGGGGGGGGGGTTTGCTTGGAGTACAGTGCAACATTGATTTTGCTGCACTTATCTCTCTGCTGCTCGTAGTGCAGCCTTGCAACAACCTGTTTGTGCGCGTTGCTTGCACGCATCCAAACACCGCCCGTGGTGGATGAAGCGAGAACGCGCGTCACGTCTCGGAGCGCGTTGCGGGGGTTTGAATTCGGTCTCGATGCCATTTCGTTCTATCCAGGAAGAGACCTCGTTGATTGTCAAGAGGCTGTTTTTGGAAGGTCTTGCGTTGGGACGGTTTCTCGACGCGTGTTCACTGCGTGTGAACGATTGGAGCGCCCGACTCTTAATCGGAAATTTACGAGTTCAGATCCAGTTCGGAGGTCGAATTAGGACAGAATTTGGATGTGGCGCATACATATTAAACACCGCTGGCCCTCTCCATGGTAATGTGGAACTTCAACCACTTTTTGACCACGCGTTGAATAGCCTCTACGCGTCTCGCTTCAACAGCTGTTTTATGTTTCGCAGTACGTCTATGTAGAACAGATGTTGATTGCTACGGAGCATTTACTGCTGCTCGCTCGTGCGCGTGCGTGCGCTTGCGTGCGTGCGTGCGCGCTGCTGCGTCCCGGTGATGCATCACCTTTGGTGGAGGGGTTAACACAATGATAGGGGCGGGCTATGGCGTTATCAATTATGTATCTATCAACCGATGTTGGGAGACAAAATAACATTTGTTTCTTCAATAAAACTGCAAATCTGGAATCGTGGCGACCGAATCTAAGACTGGAGTTGGATCGGGGGGGGGGGGGGGGGCGAGGGTGAAATCGTTAAGCCGCAGGTACAAAAGTTTCATACTTAGCCCACGTGTGTGTGTGTTACCTGTCCAAACAGGAGTCTATCACAACACCTGTAGAAAGTCCAATAAGCGTGGAGGTGGAATGAAGTCGTTGATCGCGTCTATCTGGCCATCGGTGTGTGCCTCGCGAATGTGAAATGCCTCGACTAACAAAGCAAAAACGTGCACAGCGATCCCCGCATTATCGTGCATCTTTGCCATCTTCACAATGAGCAGCAGGTCAAGTGTCTACCGGTCACGGGGGCCCCGTAGTCACTTCTCTGTGATCCCCCCCTTCCTCCTCCGTGTGCATTAACGCGAAAAAACAAACGAAGCATAACTCGCAACGTTTGTTATTGAGGGTAGCCAAAGGTAAAAGGCGCAGGCATCCAATTGCTCGCTCCTCCACTATTGGGCTCCAGGGAAACTCCCGCTGTCGATATTATTTTAGCCCATTCTTCCACGCTGACCCAGTGCTTACCAATGTGTACGTAGAAAATACCTGTTATGTTAAAATTTGCAAAGACGAAAAGTGTTTACGTATCTTGGGAATGGTGGTGCAGCAGTTCATCGCAGTGAGCTATGAACAAGACGAAAAACTGAGTTCGAGATCCCGGCCACGGTGAACGTCAGTGGCCAATGATAATCTAAACCGGTTCTAGGTCTCCACCGTCACCAACCCGCATTGACCAGAATGGTGAAGTATGGTCAAACAATCCCCATGACACTGTCATTAGCAGTTTTCCATTGACAAAGTTCTGCAACGTATTATTACCATATTTTTCGGATTATAAGACGCAACCAAAACGTGTACCCGGTATTAATTATACAATGTGGGTCACGCACACACTCACACACCTACCGGATTATAAGACGCACCTCCAACTTTTGTTTTAAAACACGGGGGGGGGGGGGCACGCGGGGGGGGGGGCGCGTCTTATAATCCGGAAAATTAATACGGTATCTTAAATAGTACAATTTTGAGGTGTGGTATGGTTTAATCTAAAACTAAACTTATTTTTTTGTTTACCAAGTAAAGCCCACTGAGCTATGTCGCTCTCTTTCGGTAGCGACCTTGGGCACACATGATAATAGACGTATCATCATGTGGACATTTATAGCAGCCAAATGCTCTTTAAACAATAGGTCTATTGTGTAGTCAGTGTTTAACAGTGTTGTACACAGCATGTTTTTTCTTCTGAAGAATGTGTTCACGTCCCCTGTGCTATGCGATGCTATGCATTGAAACTTGCTTAGTCAGTCATGCACACGAGGACACACATCCCCACACACTCCACTCCTTCCCCTGACACACCCTCTCACACACACCCACACACACCCTCTCACACACCCCCACACACACCCCCACACACACCCTCTCACACACCCCCACACACACCCTCTCACACACCCACTCCCCATTCCTCTCGCAAAGACCCCTAAGAACTCCGCGATGCAAATAATACATATATTTATAAATGGCACTGTGGGAAAGTCAGTCTTTGTTTCTGTACGAATGTGTTAGTTCTTGCTTGCAGCCCGATATAGTACTTCTCCTCAATCGTTTGGCTGACGGGTCTTAAATAATGACTTTTGAAAGTATTTTGCATGCGCCATATGGGTGCATTTCGCCCTCACGAGTGTCATCAGCAGGCCTTCTTATTCCCTACACTAAAACTGCTACGATTGCCCATAATGAATCGTCCGCGCTGACATGTGTTGGCGAAATATGCTGAGTTCGTCCTCTCGCACCCATGACCATCACAGCACGAGGACCCATTCATCCACCAGTGGATTGACAAAGGACTGTAAATAAATTCCGATTTCAAGCTTTCGTAACTGCAAGGATTCATCTTCTTTGGTTCTTTCGGTAAAGTCACGTAGAATGAGAATAAAATAATAAAATAAAACAATACAATTCTCACGACGTTTCGGCCACAACACAAGTAGCCTTCTTAAAGCTCTGTCGTCCCGACAGTTTGTTCCTTCACCTGAAGAAGGCTACTTGTGTTGTGGCCGAAACGTCGTGAGAATTTTATTGTTTTACTTTATTATTTTATTCTCATTCTACGTGACTTTACTGAAATAACCAAAGAAGACTGTAAATAACTAGAATTATTTCATTGACTCCATCAAGTATAAGCAAGATATGGTGTGAATTTGTTTCGTTGCTTAAAAGTGGAATTTAAAGAAATACCCCACCAGTATCGTACAGATACATGCACTTTAACACATGCAAGGTATTTTCCATTTACCTTCAGAGTCTCTGACCCTCAATCACAACGTTTGTAAAAAAAAACCCTCACGGCTGAGCTATCAGGCACTGTTGGTAGCCGTGTGTCCGTGAGTGATGGATGGCTGGACAGGTAAAAGTTATTAGTAGGTGGTGTGTCGCTCATACCATCAGTTGCCTGTGTCGGGTGGCTCACACTTTACACACGCAGGCTCATTATTTCGAAAGACACGAGGAGAGAGAGAAAACCCGTTTAATATATATTTAAAAAACTATCTATTTTTTTTACCAGGTAAGGCCCACTGGGCAGTATAGCTCTCTTTCAGAAGTGACCTGACCACCACAAACGAAAGCTCAACGAAGGGGCTTATCGTCGTGTGGAAATGTATAACAGGCAAAATGCTCTCGTTAATAGGAGCACACTAAACGCGTGATGTTGATCCTAAATGTGGAGGGCGAAAACTTGAGGATCCGTAGAGAAATCCACGCGACCACGGGGAGAGAGACACGCAAACCCCAAATATACAGCAGGCGTCAGGGTCTGGATCGAACCTACGACCTCCTGTATACCAGGCGAGGTAGTTGACATCTCGCCCCTGTGGCGCCCCTTAATTGCTCTGCAAAGGAAAATAGGAGACAGCTGTCATTCTCATGATCTTCTCGCAACCCTGTACTCCGAGCTCGAACGGTAATATATATTACACACTAATACAAGAACAAGATCATATGTATCGTGATTTGTATATATCTCGTTAATAGGAGCACAAATTAAAAAGTTAGAGTAATTTTAAATTAACCGTGTCAGTCTTCTGGATCCGTTACTCCCATCTCTTGTTCCGCCGTTTCAATGCAATGTTGATTTGTGTCACGGACAAATCTCGTGTAGCCATTTACCCAGCTAGCTTCGGTGGCAACGTCCTGCAGCCACTGACTATAGAATTAGTCTCGGAGTGGAGAGGAGCCCTGCTAAGCAGCGAGCCAGGAATCTGAACGTCTGGATTACTTTTAATAGTACAGTGTTATGATTGTGTAGCAATAGTTTACAGCCCTTTGTCAATCAAAGTATGGTTGCTTAACCATACTTCATGACACTGGTCAACGCGGATTGGTGAAGTGGAGTGGGTGGCATGACCGGTTCATATATCACTCGCTTCTGACGTTAGCTGTTTGCTGGGAATCAAACTCCGTTCGCCAGGTTAACAGTGCAGTGTGCTAATCACTGCACCATCGCTCCACCCCCCAAATTTAATAGATTACTTGCAAGGTAAACCAAAGGAAGACCTTAGGTAGTTGCATATTAACTACATTAACATAAATGATATAGTCAAACAAATAAAGAATCAACTGTAAACTGTACTGTGTGTGTAAATGTCTAAAAGGTTGGATGCACGTCCGTATTTTTGGTGCACGTATACAGGCCACGCACAAATAC